CTCCCCACCAATTTGGATCGCTTGTTGTTCCCTTGTCCCTGGGTTTGTTAACACCTCTTCCCTTCCCCCCTACCTCTCCCTCTCCCATGGAACAATTGGTAAGTTTGAACCTCCAGCCTTTCAATCAGCACATTGTCTAACCCACAGTGCTACCCGACTCCTTAAACACTTTGCAGTAAAATAAACCTGAAGTCCAGTATTCCTGATGAAAATAGACACAGGATTTTCCATAAAATAATAGCAAGGAAAATATATTAATATACAAAATGACAACATATCATAGCCAATTTAGTCTTTGGGAAAGCGAGACTTGAATATTTATATGTTTCTAGTAAGAACTTTTGATAGTAAATAAAAGCAATCATATTAATATAAGCATGGAAAGTATTTGAGAAAATTCTAACATTTTATGAATCTCCATATTTTAAAAAAAAACAATAAAATCACTTAAAAATTATTTCTAGGCTAACAATGATTTGCTTGTATTCATGTAACTTAAAAAGCTAGCCTTTTTAGCTTTGAATATATTATAATTTTTGCATGTATTTTATAAGAAAGTTTGCATTTATTGAAATAAAATGAGTAACTGTGTTATCTGTAAATTCACATTTTTGTTCCTGGATCAAAGATAGTATTTTGAAGAAAAGCTTAAAAAATCAGATTATCTCTGTGTGCCCACTGTAGTGTCACATGTTTGTAGCCCTGAGTCAATTACATCAATTGAGTACTAGCAATATGGCTAGTGCCCCTTAGAAATTGAATTTTTTATTTAGTTTTTTCCTAGTAAGTTTGAAACTTGTATTTGTTGTAATTATTAAAATTTTATTTAGTATGTTTGGAGTAATTCATGTGCAAATCTATACTTTTTACTGAAAGGCTTAAAATCTAAATACAGATCAAGTACTTTCAATGAATATGTAGTATACATATTGATATATATTGCACATATGAAATACACAGTAGATTTTCAAGATCAAAAATATACATAAACTCTCACTAAAATGCTTTACAATAGTTGCATGTCGAAGTGATATTTTGAATGTAGTAGGTTGAATAAAAATATTTAAATGAATTCATTCACCATGGTGGTGGTTTCCAGTGCCTATTCAAATTTATATACTCACTATTACCAGTTGATTCTGATTCATAATGACCTACTCATAAGATGCAGTAGAACTTACCTGGTAGGAAAGAGTAGGAAACCTCATCTTTCTCCTGTGGAGTGGTTTGTGGCTTTAAATGGCTGACTTTGCATTTAGCTGGCCAACATGTAAATCACGATACCATCAGGACGCATTCCCTAGCACCTATTGGGAAATTTAAAATGTAATATATGGCTTCCATTATATTTTACCAAGATAATACTGTAGAGCATGAGTCAATATAAAGGCCTATGGCTTGATACCTATTTTTGTAAATAACGTTTTGTTGAAGCACAGCTAAGCACATTCTTTTTCTACATATTGTCTGGCTGTTTTGTTTTACAAATACAGAATTTAGTAACTGACAAACACCGTATTGCTATCTACCTCTCTCAGAAAATGTTTGCTGACCTCTCCCTCTAGCATCATCAATAGAGACATGGAGTTTTTTAATGTATTTAAATGATGGGGGTCAATTTCTGTACTGGTGAATGTTCTCTTTGTACGTTGTTTTTCTTAATAAATTTGCTACTTATTTTCTAGTCATAGAAATAAGTAAGGATGTATAATCTGTATTAAGGAGAGTTAGTTATTTTAAGTTCATTATTTTATGTATTAAGAAGAATTAATTATTTTAAAAAGTCACTTAAATAATGAATTTGTTCATGACTTTTCTAGTTCAACTTCATAATAGCTTATATTTTGAAATATAACTGAACAGCTTTACTTCGGGAATTTATGGTTTTTTATTTTTCCACAGGTGTATGTGGAATTTGATGATCTTGCATGGGATAAACGAGAGTGGGTTAAAGTTTATGAAGAGTTCGCAACTTTCTTGGTTGAATACCACTTAATCTGGGCCAAAAGGAAGGACCCTAGCCAGACTCAGGGATCGAAGAACAAACAAATTCAGTGGCCTGCATTGGTAAGACCTGTTACTATTTCATTAAACATGTTTAGTTTTTTTATCTTCAAAATATACTAAGTGAATATATAAATTTTATCTTGCTGGCTTTACATTAATGTTCATGACTAGACTCAGGTGTCTGACATATATTTGAAAATACTACTTTTGTTCAAAGAGTTTATGGGTCTCCTTGTTATTATTTTCAACATCTGTAGTTCACACTTTATTTTACCCAAATAAATCTAGAACATATAAATTGGATGAAAAACTTCTGAGGAATAATTGATTTATGTGGAACATAGAACATTTTAACTGAAAGAGATGTAGATGGAAGAGTATGTTTTTTATAAAGCCTGTACCCTACCCCCACCCCCACAGCCATGAAGTTGATTCTAACTCATAGTGCCTATATATGACAGGTTAGAACTGTTCTATAGAGTTTTTGAAGCTGTCAATTTTTATATAAGTGGATTGACTCATCTTTATTTCACAAAGCTGCTAATAGGGTCAATCTTGCAGTTAACTACCGCATGCTTAATCCGCTGCACCACCAGGTATCCTTATAAAGCAGCGGTGCTCAACCTGTGGGTCATGACTCCTTTGGGGGTCGAATGACCCTTTCACAGGGGTCGCCCAATTCATAACAGTAGCAAAATTATATTTATGAAGATCAAAATTATAGTTATGAAGTAGCAACAAAAATAATTTTATGGTTGGGGGGGTCACCACAACATGAGGAACTATATTAAAGGATTGCAGCATTAGGAAGGTTTAGAACCACTGTTATAAAGCTTTCAGTCTCACTTAATTTTTCTGGGTTTGTTAAATTTAGTCAAAATGCAGTGAATCATTAATGGGTGATGGTAGATGTTAAGTGGTACATTCAGATAACCAGTATACTTGGTATTAGGAATTGTTTCAGTTAAGAACATATAGGAGTCACCAATACCTTTTCAGACAGTTTGAAGAGTTTTATAAGAGAAAAAGTACTAACTAAACAAAAACATGAATATTAAAAGAGCCACATTTATATTTAACCAGTGTTACCTATTTGGGATTGAATGTCTATAATGTAACAGATAAACCAATTTTCAGTTGGGTGAAATTTTCCATTAATACACAAATATTTTAAAATCATTGAAATATTTTATAGGTGTTTAGTATATCTAATATAGGTTAGGTATTTTCCGTTTTCTTAATAACTAGGTACTTAAAAGGGTAGTTTTTAACTTAACAATTTTTAAGCCATGAATACAAAGTTTATTGATCTTACAGACCTTGCCCCAAAATTGTTTAAAACCTAAAAGTAATTATAAGATAGGTGATTTTTTTATGATAAAAAGCCTCACAAGGTGAAAACAGTAACTCAGTAACAGCAAAATGTTTCCCTCATTATCCTAGTTAAAACATAAACAGAACTTTAGAAAACTTCACCATTTCATATAAGCTATTAAAATTGACATGGATTTCTTCTCTAGTCATAGTTTTAGAAAATTTCTATCTTAAGATGCTGTTTCTACTAATTTTTCGTTACAAATTGTTGAAATTTATTTCTGTTGGAAACAGTTTAACATCGTAATAAGTCCATATAACTAGCAAACTTCTTTTTAAAATGTAACATTTTTTTCTTGTAAGAACTGTGTATGTTATGAAAAGTTTAGAAGATACTGAATGATATAAAGTAGAAAATCATTCTAACCCCACTCCAAGAGATAACCTAATATTCGTTGACATATTTCCTTAGAAAATATATTTCTCTGCTTTTAAAAAATCATTCTAGCTAAAATTGAATAATAGATAATAGGTCCTGCTTTTTAACTTATTATTTCCTCCTCTTTACTTTTCCTCACAAGAAATAACCTTAACATAATTTTTAACAGCTGCATAATGCAAGATTCTACAATGATTTGTTTTCCTAATGTTTGACATTTGAGTTGTTTCCATTTTTATGTGATTATAAATAAATGATATAAATGTCATTGTATGTAAATCTTTGCATCTCTGATTATTTAAAAAATTTTGGTTCACGGTAGTTGAATTATTGGTCAAAGGGTCTGAAGTTAAAAGAAACAAAAATCTCTTGACATCTTCCACAAATTGCTTAAAGGAGTACTGCCATTGCCCCAAGACACAGGGTATGAGTGTTTACATCTCACCATACCCTTGCAAGTGTTGATTACATATTTTGGACCATCTTGCTTTAACATCCAAACAAAAGACCGCAAATAAGATTTTGGGTGATACAGCATTGAATGTTAATCATTTTATCTTTGCTAATTTTATATTTAAATACTATTTCATCAGTTTGTATTTCTTTAATGAATAAGGATGAATGCTATTCATGTTTATTAACAACCTGTATCTTGTGTGAATTGTTCTTTTTAGTTACTTAGAGCTTTGTGTTTAATACTTGCTAGGAGCTTTCTTTATATTATTTCAGATTTTATAACCTTTTATCATATGTTTCATAGTTTCCTCACCTAATTGTTTGATAACAATTCTTTTTGAATTGTATGTTTATGTTTGCAGAAATTCTATGTATTGGCATATCTTCATTAAATCAAACAGCCAGGGTGTTCCCCCCTCTGTTTTTATCTTTCTTCCTCTTCCTTCCCTTTCTTTTTGTTCCTTTCTTCTTTTCTTTGGGGAGGTTCTGAAAATTAATAGAACAAACAAGTAAAATAGAAATACTTGTTAACATTTAAGAAATAATTATAAGTTTTGTAAGCACTGTATAAGCATTTGTTTATTTATCAGATTCTGTTTCCATATCTCATTTTAAAAATGAGGTTTAAAAGCAGTAGTTAGGAAATTCAGAGTTTTATATTCTTTGAGCAGAGTAAAATGCAGTACTTAAAAATGTAAGAAACATTAGGAATGTGTATATATATATATGGTAATAGAGTGAAACAGTGGTAACTAATACATTGTTTTTAATTCTCTATAGATTTAATGTTTCTAATTATATGCACATAATACTTGCTTTATGTTCTTGTGTACTCAAATATGTTTATATTTATCATCTTTGCAATTGTTTCACCCCTCCTGTGGTACCTGCTAGATACTGGTTATATTAGTCTGTTCTTGGTTAGAACAATTAGCGGAAACGACCAGTGTACCTGCTGGTTCTTAAAATCATGACAGGACCCCTGAAAAAAGTCCTGTTTGTCTCATTAATATATTTCAAAGGTTATTTTTGAGGTTTTAAGCTTTTAGAACTTCAACAGAATATGGGCAAGTTCAAAACCCGGGCTATTTCTCTGGAATTACTACTTCATCTGTCTCCCCAGTATATCCGTAGCAAAGCACATGTTGGAACGCCACATACTTAGTCTACATAAGTGGTGTCTATTTCTTAGCTTGGTCCAACCTATGTGATCAGGGTACCACCTGAGGCCATTCTGATGATAGATAGAGATCATAGTAACTTATATGGCTATGTAAGTTACTTAATACTTTGTTAAATTTCTTTCCTTTTCCTTTTTAAAAGTAAAACATTTGTGAAAGCACATTTATCTGCACCAGGGAAAGAAAAACTTGGCATACTTAATTGAAATCACCGAAGCACCTACCTAACTGGGTTAGGGCCCTGGCTCCATCTCCTTTAGGAAAAACTTCTGTGGGGAGTGGGGCTTCGACCCTAACCCAGCTGGGCTGTAACACTGCTGCATTTTCTAAGGGCAGAGTTTTCTACTACTGTTCTACTGGCCCAGCCTTCCAGATCAGCCCAACCAGAATTAACCTCACCATCCTCTGTGCTCCTGTAGAACTTTTTTGTACCTCTGTTTTAACAGCTAGCACATTCTGCTTTTTATTATAACTATTTGTTTGCATGTCTGTCTTCTAATAGATTGTAAGTTCTTTGAGGACAGGAATCATGTCTTAGTCATTTTTGTATTATTCCTAGACATCTAGCATAGTGCCTTGCCCATAGTAGACAGCGACTAAATGCTTATTTTAAATGATGAATTGATCTAACTTACCTGTCATAAATAAATAAATAGAAGAACCCTCCTGAGAGATACAGCGAGTTTTCTGGCTATTATTATCACACCTACATTAGAGGACAGTTAAGAAAAATCAGCCAGTTGTAGTTCAGATTATACAATTGACCCATTTTAAATATGTCCACGTGGTCACAAGCAAGAAAAATGGATATTCTTATTTTAATCGCACAAAAATCTGATCCCTGAAATTGTCATAGGGAGAATATAAAAATTACCCAACCAAGGTTATGGTAAAAGTTAAAGTTTTAGAAGGAGAAGAAAGTAATGGTTATGCTAATCTGCAATAATTTACCTGAATTTCTGATGTGAGTCTTTAGGAAAACAAGATATTTTCCTTTCCAGTGCAGCTTTTCCTTCATAATTAGGTAATTCTGGTTTAACAAGGAATTGTAAAACATTATCAGTTAATCCTTTTAACTTGTTTGCCTAGTGAGAATGCTTTTTCATTTCACTCTGTTCCACAAGAAACCCTTTTAAAGGAGAGATCCATTGTTCTTTGGGACAAGTTTATGCTTTTATCTGGCTGCCATTTTGTTAGACTTGGTTTAGATTATGGCCTCAACTAAGTGTCACTGAAATACGAAGGTAGGCCACATTCCAACTGAATTTGAGCCTTAAAACAAGTTCACATGCAGAGAATTGATTTCCAGAATATAGATTATTAGTTTTACTTTTATTATATGTCCTTGGATTTTGTGACTAACGAAAGAGAAGTAATGACAACAAATAACACCTTAAGATTATTATTTTTTAAAAAGATTATTATTTTCCCCCCAAAATTAATTATTTTTCTGTAAAGTTATTTTTAAAGAGTGATTTATATAAAACTGTAAGCGTTCCAAATGATAAAATCTAATACTCACATTGCAGTGAATGAGCAGACCATGCTCATTTTGTGTGGGTTCATGAAAGAACACGACTCTGAACGTACTTTTTTAAGAAACAAAGCAGTTTGTTTTCCTTAAAAAGCATTTTGAAGTAAAAAAAGTATATTGAATATAACGAATGTTT